AGCAGCAGCCGGGCACGTCCCAGCTCCCTGCGCCTCCGCTCCTCCGTGCCAGGCCAGGAGGAAGCATTTTATTTACTGGTGTTATTTTTAGCCTGATGGTGCCCAGCTGCCTCAGCCAGCCCAGGACGAGAGCGGCTCGACCGCTGACAAACACAGCCAGGAGCAGGGAGACGTCCTACAGCAGCCAGGGGAGGATGGTTCCCGGGGGGTCTGTGCCTGCCCCAAAACCCTCATCCCCGCCGAACCGGAGCTGGAAGGACCTGCACCCCATCTGCCCTTGTGGGTGCTGCAGGGGCTGCGTGCCCAGGGCTCTGAGGGCACCGGGCTCCCCCCAGCCTCGCGTCAGCCCCGGCTTATCTCCAGCCAGAAGCCACGGCACCGCCTGGCACTGGTTAATAATTAAATCAAAAAGCTTCGCAGGAAGAGAAACCCAAGCTCGCCTTGAGTTTCCACCTAGAAGTGGCTGCAGCGAAAGGCAGAGCGTGATGCTGGTGCCCCAGCAGCTCCCTGTTCTGCTTAATTGAGTAGCAATTAAGGGTAGTACTAATATCTGCACAGCGTGGCCCTGACCCCCCATGACCCTGTGCAAGCGTTGGTGTTCCCAAATGGGGTGCTGGAGGGCCCAGCCCAGAGCCCCACGGCCGCTGTTCCCTCCAGCGCCTTCCCCAGACCCCCCCCATTAAATGCAAACTTTGCTCCCAACGAACCCACCCAGGAGCCGGGACTCGACACGCGTTATCGATCACAGAAATCGTGGCACATGGAGCAAAGGCCGTCCGCGGAGGAGCCGGGTGCTGGCACACAGCGGTGCCCAAGCAGTGCCTACGCCGTGAGCCACGCAACGGTCGCCAGCTGCCGCTGGAAATGTCGGAGCTGCAGCAGCAAAGACCAGGAGCAGGGGACTCGCCCGCCGACCGGGCGGGGTGGGGGATCGCCAAGAAAGGCACCGAAAAAAGCCGCCCCAAGAGGCTTTTCAGGTCCGTGGTGATGTGACCTGCAAATACCGGCTGCTGGATGTGCCATGTCGCACGTTGCAATGTCCAGCCTCCAGAGAGGACCGAAATAAATACACAGAGAGATACCGACGTGCTTCTCCAGAGCTGGAGGGACCCTGGGAGCACGTGTTCGTCTGCCCTTCGTGCTCCCCGTCCAGGCTGAGTCACAGCCGCAACGGCGAGAGGCTGTGGGAGCAATGCTTGATAGGTTATGGTAAGGCAATTAATTATGCAAATTCCACTAGGCCACCGTCACCTTCCCGCAGAGCCCAGCGAGCCCCAGGCGTCCCTCTGTGCTCCCAGGGCCAAGCATCCAAGCCTCACCCCAAAGCAAGCCAGCACAGCCAGAGGCCGGCCCTTCCTGCTGCCCCAGCACCCCAGCAAGCCCAGCACAGCCCCCTGGCACAGCACCCACAGCACCCTGAGAGCCTGGCACAGCACCCACTGCGCCCCGTGAGCCCGGCACGGCACCCGCTGTGCTGAGCAACAGACAGGCGAGGGAAAAACCTCCAAGACACAGGGTTGAGAAAAGCCAGCATAAAGCGTTTTTATTGCAATAATAAAACTTGATACCTTTATGCGGTGGAGAAGGAAGTGAACGGCGGCAATTTCTCTTACCAAATCACTAGGCAGGGCGGAGGGAGGGAGGGGGCAGATAGGACAGCAGCGGGGGAAGCTACGCATCGTATGAGACCAGACAAGCGGCGATGACCAGCATCAGGTGTCAGGAGAGAACGGTCAGGTGTGCTCAGACCGGGGACAACTGGGGTCTGATGTTTCCTTTCCAGGAGGGAGAGAGGGGACAGGGGCGTTTTCTTTGAGCTGACTCCCCACCAGCCCCGCCACCTCCCCTGTAGACAGCACCTTCCGTTTGTCTGCTCTTTTCCTTTTTCTTTAAAGAAAGCTCAATGTAAGCTACTGAATTTTCAGGGTGTGGTGGAGCTCTGATGGAAACCCGTCTCCATAAATCCGAAAGCGGGCTGGGGGAGGGGGGGGAAGGAAGGTCCACCGTGAGATGGCAGAGTGAAGCAGGGGCAGAGCAGCCCCCCCTTCCCGGGAGCAAACCCACGGTGCCCGCAGTGATGCTGCGCCCTCCCCGGGGAGCAGGGAAAAGACAGGCCGCTCCCTCGCTGCCCTGGTTCCAGGCAGGGTTACCTAAACACAATCCTAGCGCTACTTTGCTCTCCGCATCCATTCAGCCTCGACAGCCTCACTCTGCTATGGCTTTTGCAGCAGCAGCAATTTCTGGTTTGAAAACACCATAGAGATCTGCACCAAAACGAGTAGCTAACGGGTTTCCTTTTGTTCAAATGACTCCTATCTAAGGTCAGCCCATCTGCGTGCTACTGGTAAAACGTAGTCTACACCTGGAACAAAAATAAGATTAAGAACTTGACCCAAAAAGAGTTGAGGTTTACGGCGTATAGTTTAAAAAGACATAAAAACACAATACAAGGAGGAAGAGTCAGACGCAAAGCTTAGTGACCAAAGGCATTCAATCAAGGTGTAAGGTTATACAATGAGTGTAGTGGACTATCAGGAAAAGCTCCGTACAAAGTCATGTGCACTCTTCTTGAAGCTGAGATTCTGGATTCCTCCATGTGCCAACCCTGCTGGGAGAGAGGAGAGGCAGCGTGACAAAGCCGCCCGCCC